TCTGTCGTCACTTTCTGCAGCACGATACCATAATGAGACCTCCCATGCCAGACCCGCCGTTATCATTCATCTACATGTATGTACGATGATAGACCGCAGTCTCGGAACACACGCAGGTGGGCATCCAATCACTCTGGCCGTCGTATCTTCTTGCTTCACCCAGTCGCAGACGGCCATGTGCTCTCCCTGATCTGTCTCATAGGCTGCGGCGCCCTGGTTGCACATAGTATGCTACTCCATCAGAATCTGCAACACATGTCAACTGGCAACTCGCATGCATGCCTTGACTCATGATCCGTACGCTTGAGAGCTTGCAGTCAAGCTTGAGCGTACCTATCAAAGCGATGCAAAGCCCCGGATCCGACAAGGGGCATCTTGAGGACTGTAAGTATCCGACAGACGGCAGCAGGAGCGCGACATTTCTGCTTTGCGGCCCAAGCACGCGACCAATGCGAGGCGACGATACAGCTGTTTAATCAACGGGCAGCAGTCGGAATGAGCGACTTGAGGCTCTGAGTTCCGCCAAGGATTGCTTCATCAGCGCCCAACATCAAATCCTTCCTGTCAGCCACCGAGTTGTCCAAGCTCACATGCTTTGTAGGTATCGCGATAACTCGAGTGATGACCTCACTCATGTCCGAACGGGTACATGGAAGCTACCTGCCGTCTCCCGCCTGGGCCGCTGCATCGCTGCCGTCTTCAGCTGGTCGCGCCGACTCGCTAAAGGCACCCGGCTGAAGAAGCGCTAAAGCCTGGAACAAGAGTTGCTGCTAGGCTGCTACAGGAATGGCACTCGGCCGCCATGTTGCGTCATGCGGGGTGCTAGTGCTGCCGCTGTACCTTCCTAACGTCGATAAGGCCATCTTTGGCTTAATTTGCTGCTACGGCTGTCTTATCAGCTAATGTACAACCTGGCCATGACAAGAAGCTTAAGCAGAGCTAGGCGCTGTCCCTTGGCGAATAAGGCCTCGATGGCTCGTGTTGGTCCCGGCGTCATACAGGGAGGTGGGACATGCTCCATAGGGCACTGATCGATCGCTGAAGAGCGACGACTTGGTCCTTTTCCTGCAGCTGTCAGGTCGCCCTGCTTCTTCTCCCTTTTGCCGTCACGCGGTCGCTTTTCCGCAGGCTGCCCTCGCTTTCCCATTGTCTGGCCTCTTTCCGAGGACCTTTTCTGATTCTTCATCTTTGCAGCTTTGCGTACGGTCGGTCTATTGATCGTTAGCGGTCGTGAGGCTTCGGGGCATCTGCTGCTGCTCGCGCTGCGTCTCTCACCGTCTCGGACATCGCCGTCGCCATGCCTCGCAGCAACCGCTGGCGCAACATTGATCGCCTGCTTGGCTTCGACAGGCGTGGCTATCAATCTCGCCGTCAATGGGTTCACGAAGAGGAGCGCGCCCGTAAGTCGTGACGCCTTCAATGGCCGTCAAAGCCTGCACCTCGTGCCCCTCCCGGCCATCCTGCTAACAGACATCCTTTGCCCTCTTGCTCCAGTGCTGCCGCATCTGCACAATGAGGAGATAGACTCTGCCATCCCGCCGGTCGAAGTTACAAAGGTGTGCCTCCGGCTCCGGCACCTGGTCCAGGAATGCGTGCCGTGCGAGATGGAGGAGAGCCGAATCACGGCCCCTCATAGTCGCATCATCACGCCGCACGTCATTCGAGCTGCCAAGGAAGCAGGCGGTCAAGAGCACAAGGGTTGCGTGGTACGTGACGGCTGCATATACTATACCGCCCAACCGTGAATTTGACGGCACACTAACAGGGCCCAGGTCTATGCTCTACTCGTCAACCAACGCTGGTTCAAGCACGAAGCCAATGCTGAGCTTTGGGATGCCGGTCTGCATCACCTCAGAGCCGAAGCTTGCGGCGTCATCGCCAAAGCCCTGTACGTGGTCCAAGCCAGCGCCCGAACGATGTCTATTGTCTGGACCAGAAGCTAACAATGGGAACAACAGCATCGAGGAAGAAGAAGACACGGCATATCTACTGCACTCGGTGCTTCTGCGTCGATACTCATACATTGCAAACGGCTCCCCGACGCCCCCCGTAAATGTCATCGAGAAGGCCGTCGACTTGCACGCAGTCCGAGTCATTGGGTCGTCGGGCTACCAGAAATGCATCAGCTATCTCTGGCGCGGCTGGTTGGTGCAGGACGAGAACGATCCGGCCGTCTTTGTCGACTACAATGACAAGGACAATCCCAACTTTCTGGTCCATATGGATCCGGATCGGATGCGAAGCCCCAGGAACCAGAACCTTGCCCAGCTCTTGTTTTCGCTCGTCTACCTCGCCCTCTTTACCATTGCTATCAACACCGTCAACGCTACCGGCGTGATCGATATCGCTGAAGGCGCCCTCTATATTTTCACGCTCGGCTACATCTGTGATGAGCTCCTCAAGGTGTACAAAGCTGGATATCATATCCTGGGCTTTTGGAATGCCCTCAACGGTACGCTGTACGCATTTTTGACGGCGTCGTTCATATTCCGCGTCGTCGGCCTGACATTTGCGGAGCACACCGACGGCCGTGTTCACTACAGCACACTTGGATACAACATCCTGGCCTTTACCGCTCCGCTCTTCTGGTGCCGTCTCTTGCTCTATCTGGATAGCTTCCGATTCTTTGGAGCCATGCTTGTTGTCCTCAAAGTCATGATGAAGGAGTCTGTGATATTCTTCGCCCTGCTCATTGTCATAGTTATCGGCTTCCTGCAGGCCTTCATTGGCCTAGACCTCACTGACGACAATGTTGCTGATGATGTCTGGTTCATCATCGAGTCTATGGCAAGAGCCCTGCTCGGAAGCCCAGAGTTTGACGGCTTTGATGGCTTCGGACCTCCCTGGGGTGCAATCCTGTATTACTGCTTCACTTTCATTGTCATGGTATGTCCCGAACATGATGCGTCCAACTAATGCGCTGGCAAATGCACAAACTAACGACTGTCCCAGGTCATTCTCCTCAACATCCTCATCGCTCTGTACAACTCTGCGTACGAGGACATCTACGAGAATGCAGATGACGAATATCTGGCGCTGTTTAGCCAAAAGACAATGCAGTTCATTCGCGCGCCAGACGAGAATGTTTACATTGCTCCGTTCAACTTGGTCGAAATCGTCATTTCTGGTCTCTTTGAGTGGTGGATGCCCAAGAAGTCGTACGAATTCCTCAATGATTGCGTCATGGGTGTTCTATACTCGCCACTGCTCTTCATCACGGCATTCTTTGAGATTCGCACAGCCTATTCCATCCGTCGCAACCGGGCTCGCGGTGAAGCGGACGATGATGTCGTGGAAGAGTGGGAGCAATTGGCAGACGAAGTTGACTTTGGTGCCGAGGGATGGGCCAAGAAGTGCGAGGCTGTCAAGCCCAACATGGAAGATGACCCGGCCGTTGTTGAGGTCAAGAAACTTCGAAGCGAGCTTGCTGGATTGAAGTCCATGCTGGCAGAGATCAGCGAGCACGTCCAGTTTCCAATGACCAGCCAGGATACCAAGATTGGAGACGGTAGTGCCTTTGGCGACTTTAAGCCTTTCTCGGACACCACGCATGAGGGAACAGACCATACCCTGGGCACCGGCAAAGATGTAGCGTATGAGCAGGCAGGCACATCTGACAGTGCACAGGCAGATCAACACAGCTTGATTGACCTGACGGATCCGTTTGTGGACTCTACCAAATCGGACGAACATTCCGCACAACCGGTCAAGGATTCTGCGAAGCCAATTGAGGACGCTGGAGAGGAGAACAAGGATTCGGAAGAGACGACCAAGGCTTCGGAAGACCCAGCCAAAGGCACCGATGAGCCAGAGCCAGTTAAATCGTCCGATGAGCCTACCAAGCCGGTCGAGGAATTACTGCGACCCGCAGAAGCGGCATCTGAAAGTGGAAATGCAACTACCAAGGCACCGGAAGACACTTTGCAAGCTCCTGAAGACGAGCCGTCAAAGGGGTCTGAAGACGTCGCCTTTGAATCATCTGAACCTGTCCCCTCAAAGGCACCAGAGGATGTATTGCCCGAAATCCCCGAAGACATGGCTTCGAAAGCACCAGAAGGTGCTTCTCTCAAGGCTCCTGAGTATGTTCCGTTCATGGCTACTGAAGACCTACCGTCGGAGACTCCTGAAGGTATATCATCTGAGGCTCTGGAAGGCGCACCGCTAGACACGCCTGAGCCTTCATCGTCCAAGGCCCCTGCGCAGGATGTGACGCCTGAACATGCCGAACGTGTCGAGTCTGAGGAGGCCGAGGAAGCCAGCCCCGAGAGCGCTGCTGCCGGTGAAGCCAGGGCAGAGGGCGAACAATCTCCGGCGCCGACCAAGGCCAAGAGGAGAAGAAGAAAGAAGAATAAGCAGTCTCAAGGTGGCCCGAGCGGCGGCAGCTAAGCAAGCAAGCCTGTCTCCCTAAGCTCCCACGCGGACGGGCACAAACAGCGCGGTAAACGAATGAAGATTGTGTGTTTTATGCTTTGGTTTACCAAGGGCGGCGTATAATACCCACATGATTCCGATTGGTTTAAAGGAAGATGTTTACTTGCGTAGGATGGCGAGCTTCTTGACGTATCGTGGACTGGGATGGAACCGGAGGGGAAGGGAACGTTTTGAACTCATCGGTGACGCTCAATATAAGAACTGGTTGCGAGTTACGGAAGCGGTTGCATTTACGTTAGCATATAGCAAGGAAAAGTCGTAATTTGAATGAATTGATTTACAACCCACTAATGACCGGCATAGCGCGCTCTTTGACTGCAAACGAAAGGTAACAGTTGGCTGAGTCCATTCATCACAACCGCGTAGATTGCGGATAGAATGATGTCTTTGCGGGCGCCCGCTTCGTGCAAGTACCCTCCTATCAAGACTCAAAGCATTTACCTTCCGAAAGATCCCTCCAGAGGAAAAGGTTACAAAAGCTACCTGGGTAATGAGAGAGCGGGCCTGTAGTAGTGGGGGAGACTCTGGCAAAGACGAGGCTCGATGTAAGATCGTGCCCCTGACTTCTCTCATGTTTGAACCTGGTTGATATGAGAAGCTGTATTGATAAATATCAGAAGAAATTATAATTATCTGGCAAGAACCCGGGCCTAATGGTACCTGAATGCAAAACCGTCAAACGTGCCCACCTCTTCCGACTCACCAGGCCACAGCCCAACCTTGAACAGAATCTCCTCGTCCACTCCCACATCGTCTCTCAGATATGCTATCGTCTCCTTCGCCCGCTGCTTCCAAGATTCCCAGCCCTCTTCATTGAAAAAGTTCTCCGACTCTGGATGCCTGCTCCGCCGAAGACACTCGACTGCCCGCTCCCTCCCCACTACATCAACCATCAGAGCCAGCAAGTCCTTGTGACCGAGCCATGCGGCGGCCGCCAGAGCACTGCCGTGACGGCCCACGTCAAGCGTCGCGGCAGGATCCGCACCGGCCTTGAGCAGGAACTCCAGCGCCTCGCTGATGCCTTTCCGCATATGCTCCGTCGCCGGGAAGAAAGCAAACAGCGCCTCCAGAGGGCTACCGTATCGACCGCTCTTCAGGGGCAGCTCGGCATCTGCACCATAGTCGACAAGCAGTTGCATGATTTCAAGCTGGCTATCGTCGACCCTTGTAGCAGCAGCGACAAGAGCACTTCCGTAGTTGCCGCACTCCACGGCGGCATTCGCATCGGCCCCGTCATCGAGCAGAATTCGGACCGCTTGGGGCTTGCCTCTGCATACCGCTGCGATCAGCGCATTGCCATAGCTGCTACCAGCTTCCCTGTTCACGTCCACCCAGCCTTGGTCCAAAGCCCACGGTAGCAGATAGAGGTTCTGCATGACCATCCACTGAACCGGAGTAGACCTCATGAAGTAATCTTTGACGTCGACGTTGAGGTCGACTTTACCCTCTGACACCAGCAGCGAAACAATGTCCTTGTTGCCTAGACCTATCGCGATCTTCATCGCCCTGTAATGCCCTTCGGCAAGAGGATTGTTGATGTCCATAACGCGCAATAGAACCCTGCAAATCGGCACAGACTCGGCCATGGCGGCAAGCCCAAGTGCATTACAGCTGCCCGAGCATTTCGAAAGCGCCATGTCTTCGGTGATACTGCCCTTGTGCCACCAGTCATGCAGAACATTGTAGAGGCCGTAGCGACACATGGTGAATAGAGCCATGTTGTTGGGCAACAGCTCTGCTTTGCAGCCCCATCTCGTCAAAAAGTGACTCTTGTCAAGCCAGACTCTGTAGTGCTCGCTGCTCTCTTCTGGAGACCCGAGGAAATGCTTGAGAGCCCTCACAAGCCTTGAATCCGGTGCTGTGCCTTCCATTGAGCCGAGCCATTTGTCGTATCGCTGGGCGTGCCAAGGCCATGCATGCGCAGCATACTCTCCGAATGAAGATATGGCGACTTGTCGAGAAGGGTCTTCCGCGTACCATGGCTCCCATTCGAAATGCATAAGAAAGCTGAGTGAGGTCCTGGCAACAAAAGAATCGCATTTCCCCAGGAATAAGCCTTTAGACTCGAAGTATTCGGCAACGGAGGCATGTGACAGCATCCAAACTCGCCTCTGCTCATCAATGATCAAAAGGTCCTGGCAGAGTGATAATATTTGTTGTTCGGATTGCCATTCTTTTTGCACCAGTCTATCTCCCTCAAAAGCATATCGAATTGCTTCCAGAAAGATTGCAGAAGTTAGTGGCTCCAAAGAACACAGCACCCACTGGACAGCCCGCTCAGCTAATGCAATGTCATGCCTGTTACGCTGTGCTCGTATACCCTCCCACAGTTGATCGTAAGTTCCCATCAGATCTGGGGGGATCGTATTAGCCCACAGCCTGATCGCGTCGTCCGACGTGCATGACCTGAGTCTTTGGACCTGTAGATGGACCCATCGAAACCTAAAACATACAGTCAGCGTCAGTGAGGCTCAAGTTGGATGTCAAGGGCATACATAGAGATGGCAAGATAATCGGCGTGTGATGGTTTGCTATGTACTTACATTCCACCATTTCGGGACGAAAACGTCTCGCGTATGAGCCCCTGAATCTCTTCCTGCCGATCCTTGAATAACTTTGTGGAATAAAGCTTTTCATAGAGAAATTTTTCGATATCGCCTCGTTGGTTGCTGCTGTCGATTGTGATGGTAGTCTTGGTGTCAAAAGCGTCCATGTACTCTCGGTCCGGGCGACTCGATATGAACAGCTTGACCGGTTTGGTGGCCTTTCCCACCAGTTCGATCAGAATCTCCGCTAAGTTGTAACTCGTTATGTCAGATTCATCCAAAGCATCAAGGATGATGGTGGTCCTTGAGTACAGGTTCAGCGAGTCTAGAATGAGCTCTTTGCAATCGTGGTAACCGAAATCTCGCCCCTCTTTGTTCGCTAGTTCACATCTCTGGATGACTTTTTTTTGAAGAGAGTTATAGCTGAAAGCTTTGTAAGATAGTTGGCGAGCGAGACTCCTGAGAACCGTGAGAGGATCCTGCATCGAAGGTCCGGATCGGTTACAGTAGAAGAAAGCGAACCCTTCGTCGTGAGTTGAGGATTCCAGGATCCCCTTTATGTGATCAATCACTCGAGAAGTGAGATACGTTTTGCCGGTGCCCACTGATTCAGGTCAGACTTAGAACAAGGGAAAAAGCGTAGAATGAAGAGCTCACCAGTCCCTGTAAGACAAAGCACTGCTGAAGATGAGGGTATCGCTTGCCAATCACGAAAGCCCTCATGCTGTATCAGCCAATCACCAGTGTTAGCCGTTCGTGTTTCTCTGACAGTAGCATGACTTTTCCCAAATTTCTCAGAGCTGATGAATTGCATGAGTCTCTCCAGTCGGTCCCTGTCAACCTCCTCGAGAAGCCTGGCAACACCCTCGTCGATTCGCGTTACTGGTGATGAGAGCCCATCCAGTCCCACGAGCACGGCTTCTATTTCTTGATTCAATTTCCCTTGGGCCTTTGCTTGCCGCGATGCTTCACAAGCCTGGGCTTCCATTTGAGCCATTCGCTCTTTTTTGACCAAGTTTGAGAGAAAGTCTGCAGTTTGTTGTGGCCGAAGAAGGATATCCAGAGTTTGGCCGGCTTTTCCGCTTCTGATCAGCTTATCAGATCGAGCTAGGAATTCCATTGCCGCAATGTAGAGATCCAGAAGCGCGGAACGCAGATTGGACACAGCTTGTCTGTCCGTCGTTGACGCCTTATACAGAAGCTCGTACACCTGGCCTCTGCGAATGACCCGTGTAAACCACTGAATCGTGGCAGCAAGTGCTGCCATATGCTCGGCTCGCTGAACTGGAAGCTACTGCCAGTTAGCTAGTGTTTAAGCAGAGACAGATGAGATCAAAAGCGTTGTAGGTTCATAGAGCTCTAGCTAGTTTGAAGCAAGATAAGCAGAATGAAGCAGATACAGTAAAAAGGCCAGCTGGACAAGACAGATTATTGTCTCCTAGATTAGAAGCCTTACTTTCAGCAGAGCCTTCCCCGCAGCCCACGGTGCACTGGTCTCGCGTGGCACAAGCGTTGCAGTGAGATCACCAGCCATGGTGAGGAAGCTTATCACGTCGGCCACATATTCGCGGAAGACAATCGTTTGGTTGCCAATTCTGATTTTGGTAGGAGTTCTAATGTTTTTCAGCAAAGATTGGTTCTGGAGAAGGTCGATAAGTGCGTTGACTTGGTCGTCGGAATCGGCATTTGGCGTGGAGCTGAGCCCATGCTGTCGAATCCAAGATTTCGTCTCGTCGTTCACGCTGCGGAAAACTTCTTCCCAGAGGTTCACGGATAGATGGTCATCGGTAGGTACTTCGTCGTCGTGGGGAGAGGAAGCCGTCTCGGGACATGTTATTGGAGGGGGGGATGTCGTTTCAGTAGCTGGAGGAGAAGAGACATCCTCTGTATCCAGAGTCAAGGAGCTATCCTCAGTAGGTGCAATGGAAGATGCATCCTCGGTGTCTGGGACAGAAGTATCTGTTATGACGACTTGAGACACATCGGAGCATGATGCAACAGATGGGGTGATGGTGGACTCGGAGCTTTCTCCTGGAGAGTTTGAGGTTAGGGGCGGGTTGGCGGGCGCTTCGTCGCTGTGTGAAACAGAGGGAACGTTGATAGCCGGAGAAGATAGAGGTTCGGTAGCTGGAGGAGGGTATATATGCTCGATATCGTGAGGAGCGGTTGTTTTATCTGTACTTTCAGCAGAGGATAATCCTTCGCTATGCTGCACAGAAGGGGATATTGTAACAACTGGAGACGGGTCCAGAGGGGGGCCAGGAGGGGTAGATGGCCGAGACGTCAATGGAGGTGGTAGAGTCGCATCGTTCTGCGACGTACTGGAAGATAGAGATGCCGTCGACGTCCTGATCTGAGGTGATAGTGACGGCTGAAGATGCGGCGGGCCAAGTTGCGAGCTGCTGCCTTGTAGCGATGTGGACGATGGCCTTGCAGTTGGCAGAGGGCTTCCTCTTGGAGGTTTTTTGAGGGAGTTCCAGATCTTGCGCACCCTCTTCTTCGTCTTCTCCGCGAGGCTTGCCTTTGCTCTGCCGTTCCATTTATCCCTCCATTTTGCCTTGAAGCTTTCGTTCGGCATTGTTCGCCCAGCCTGGCCCAGAGGATGAAGATGACAGAGACGGCATGGTGGAGGGCCTCAACGAGAGGAACCCCAGGACAAATGCATTATGGAGTCTCCAGTTGCACAACCCCTACCGCGCGGCAATGGAGGTCGCGTTCGAGCCGCACTTCGCATCACCTCATTGGCCGTACAGCCACAGGATGCCTGCAGGCCGCAGCACGTCCGGCGGGACAGCCTGCCTCTTTGGGTCAATTCGACACAGTCTGAGCCCAGTAGAGCCAACAACTGTCTCTCAACTCTGTAGATATGCCTTGGCCATACAGCATGACATGACCAACAGACGAGGAATCCTTCCTCCAAGGAAGCCTTGCCGCCCAGGCAGCTGCATGGGTCCATTCGTAGCGGGGGATGTGCCGCTCTGACAGTGCACAGACTCGTCGACTCGAGATGGACATGATGATCTTGAGAAAAGGTCCCTTCCCTGCATGGCCACGATTTTCAGGACAGTCTAATCAGCCTCCCTCGTTGAAGTTGCAGGCCTTTTGAACTTCTGGGTAAGCTTAGGTAGATCACACAACATAAGAGACCCTATGATGGACTCTTGTAATGCCAAACCTTTGACCAAGATGTACCTTCCTCACACTCCAACATCGGATAAAAATCAGGACTCGACTTGAATTCAAGCTCTAAAAGAGGCAGCAGGAGGTCAAAGTTGAGGATGGCATCGGTGGTATCACTACCCATCGTATGGGGTTGAGCGGTGTTGAGGTGAACAGGAAGCTCAGGTCATGGAAGTCACTGTTCTTTAGCGCATTCGATTCTGTACCTACCTATAGGTACCTAAGGTAAGGTAAGGTAGCAGAGGGTACCTAGTAGGGTACTAAGGTACTAGTTGCCTGTGGGTTAGCGCCGTGGGGTGCTACCGAACGTTCATTCCCTCCTGTCCTGTTGTGTCCTGTACAGGGCTGTGCTGCTGAATGCACCGTGCAGCCAAGGTACCCAGTACCTCCTTGTTCCCCCCCAAATCCGTCGACCGCAGCAATTGACGGCATCGTCACACCTTGGCTTCTTTCTTCCTGCTCAATCCTCCCACCTACAACATCTCTCCAAGCCGTCAACACGCGTGATATCGCGGGGGCAGGGCCTTACAGGGGGGCAATTGAATCTCTTTTGTTTGGCATCTCTCCCTGAGTCTCGCTCTTGCGGCGTTCTCGACTTCCCGCAGCCGCCCGCGCATTATGATTTGACAAACCGCGAGAACCCCCTTCTTCCCTTTCTCTTCTCTTCTCCCCTCCTCCCTTTCCTCCCGTCACAACCTCGACTCTACCAGCCATGGATGACGCTCCAGTCCCCAAGCTCTCGGATTTGCTACGGCACCCGGACGACCTCGACAAGATACCCGCGCTAAAGCTCGAGCTGTCGCGTAAGAAGAGTGCCGTCGACGGTCAGCTGCGCAATGGCCTCCGGGAGCAGCTCGAGACGACGCAGTCGGGCATGAACGGCCTCAGCGACGGCCAGAAGGCAGTACAGCAGATCAAGGAGGAGATGATGAAGATTGACAAGCTGTGCTCCGAGTCGCAGACCATGATCAAGGACTTTGCCAGCATCAACATGGTGTCACAGGCGCACCGCAACTTTGGCGCCGTCGAAGCCATGAGGCGCAACCTCGAGACGTTTAACGAACGCTTGGCCGTTGTCGAGCGGATGCTGCGCGAGGATGACGACGACAACGAGAACATGCCGAACCTATTGCCGTGCCACTACGAGCTGACACAGCTACGCAACATACGAGACGATGCCATGGAGCAGATCCAGAGGGCCGAGGATCCGAGCCTAGAGTCCACTCTGGAAGACTACTTCGCAAGGCTGGACGATACGATCGACTGGTTTGACGAGCACGTCGGTATCTTGGCTATGAACCTCATCAACCTCGTCGTTAGCGACAACAACGGCCTGGTGGTTCGCTTCGCCGTCGTCATGGAGGCGGAGGAGAAAAGTGACCAGCGCGTCATGGCCCTGCAGGAAGCTCTCAAGGACCACGAAGAGATGGCAGCCCGTTTCCAAGGCATCACCGACGGTGCCCGCAAGGTCCGCGGCTACAAGGATAAATTTATGCAGGCCATCCGGGTCAGCGCGGAGCAGCAATTCCAGCAGGCTCGGGAGGACTTTCTCGATGATGCCGACGGCCTCGAGGCGGCGATGAAGTGGTTCTTCAACGACCTCAATGCCGTCAAGATTGGCATGACGCCACTCATGCCGAAGAAGTGGCGGATTGCAAAGACATACGCCGACATCTATCACGTCTTGATGCACGACTTCTTAATCGGCATGGTGGATGACCCAGAAGCCAGCTCTGCACACACGCTGGCCATTGTCAGCTTCCCCGAGAAATACTACAAGAAGATGGCCAAGCTTGGCTTCAAACAGGAAGACCTGGTACCACACGTCATCGACAACCGCGAGGCGGAACTCGTCCGCGATTTCCGACAGCTCATTATCAAATTCCTCGACGAATGGATCGACCGAATATTCGAGCAGGAGAAACGTGACTTTGCCGAGCGTAACACCGAGGGCTCCAACTTGGACCAGGATGAGTACGGCTATTTCCGGACCAAGAACCTGGTTGCCCTGTGGAGGATGCTGCGTGAGCAGGTCGAGGCGGCCATCAACTCGCAGCGTGCAGACGTGGTCGAGGGTGTCGTTGACGCCATGTTCCTACGGTTACGTAGTCGGCAGCAGTCATGGCAGCGTATGCTTGACGACGAGGCTGAGCGCTACGAGAGCGGTAGGATTCCCGATCTGGAGGGTTTCCAGGCGTTGCAAGACTGGCTCGTGGCCACGGCCAACGACCAGATCGCCGTCATTGACGACAACGAGGAGGAAAATCGGCTGGGTTACTTGTCAAGCTTCCGACAGCAGTTTGAGCGCAACGTCAGCCCGCAGTACCTCGAGCGCACCGAACAGGAGCTCAACGCCCTGCGCGACGGCTACGTCGACTTCAGCACCTGGTGCATCCACAAGTTTGCCCACCTCGTCTTCGTTGTCGACTTCAAAGTCGTCATGCCCGACTTCTTCACACCAAAGTGGTACACCAACACGGCCATGAAGCAGATGGTCGTCACATTCGAGGAGTACGTCGGCGAGTACCGCCAGGCTCTTCACCACTCCCTCGTCGACATTTTCATCGAGATCTTTGCCGACGAGCTCCTCGTACGATATCTATCGTCAGTGCGCAACAAGGGAGCAAAATTCCGGCGCGTCGATCCCTTCCGGGATAAGCTCTTCAATGACATCGCCACCGCCTTTGAGTACTTTTCCAACTTGGCGAGTCCAGAGGTTGCCATGTCCATCAAGGACACATGGAGAGTTACGGAGCACTTCTTGGCCTTGATTTCCGTGGACAAAGATACCGTGGCGGATGCCTTTGCCGCATTCAAGTCTGCCTACTGGGATCTGCAAATCAGCTGGGTCGAGGCCGTGCTGCGGTCTAGGGACGATTTTGAACGAAGCATGTTGAATGCCGTCAAGGCGAGGGCGGCGCAAATGGATGTCGTCAGAGGGCCGGAGACGGTCATGGCCAAGATTAAATAAAATCTACGCCCCCCACAATACGGCTATCTCTATACGAGGCGGTAAATATGGCGGAAACACGATGGTAAGGGCTCACGAAGCCCAACAAACAGATACCTGCTATACAGGGTTTATGGGTTAAGCAGTTGAGTCACGTCGGCTGGAAGGAGATGGGAAAGAGTCGGGAACGCGCATCGTCGAATGTTTTGAACTGGCGTAGGGATAGTTGCAACAGAGTGGGAAGTTGTTGAATTACGCGGGCCGCAATGGGGGGGCCTTTCTCACGACGTAAATGGTTTTCTATCTATTCTATATTAGCGGTATCTTTCTCTGTGGGATCATATTGTTTCAGTCGATGTTTATCATACAAGAGGCTGGTGGAAGATGCTAGTGGAAGAGGCAAGGCAAGTGGACAACAAAGACAATGTATGTCACAGAGTCGAGTTGAGCCGGGATGCATCTCACATAAATACAAATTACACCAGATCCGCTACCAGGCATCATGAATGAGAAGAATGCAAAAATCTTGGAGCGATGAAAGAAACACGGGGCTCAAGCTTCCAGATACACGTGGCCTTTCCAAAGGAAGTGTATCAGTCAAATGCCCCCTTAGATTCGCTCATGGCAGCCCAAGCCAAGCTGCTGCTGTGTGCTGCTAGGGCTTGCCGGGCTTGCCTTGTAATGCGACTACCTAAATGCAGGGGCAGTAAGATATCACTAGGTGTGTCTGTTATAAAGTTATCCCTCTTTGTCTTCCTCTAATACTCATATATAATGATACCTCGAACCAAGCATGTTCCTTATATACTCGTTGGGACAACACTTTCGTTATCGATCTCTCTCTTATACCACTCAAGAATTGAAAAAGGTGATAATAGTGAAAAGATGAGATATAGATGATTACAAAAAAAAACATAGGAGAGTGATTAGCGGACAAGGACTAGGTAGCTATCCATTTGAATGGAACAGGTCTCCCCGCATCGATTCAAAGCCGAAGCAGAGCAGCGACAGCGACAACCTCGTACAGATACATTCTGACCCTTCATTGCAACAAGAAAAAGAACAAGGATATAAAGAGCAAAGGAAAAAAGAACAATGTCAACAAAAATTCAGAGACCCCCGCCTCCCATTCCTATGCTACAAAAGAACGAACGAGCAGCTTGCTGTGTGTTGCCGTGACTTTCCCCATCTACCATGATGAACAACTTTTCTGTATTCAAGAGCAAGTTACATCACCATTCTTGATTTCCTTCTAAGACTGGCTGGCGAGAAAGTTGGCGGCCTAAAGAAAGTCGATTTAGTCGCAAGTAATCATCCTCAACCGGTCGCCCAACATCTAAGTAGAAGTGGGTGAGGAGTAGGAAAGATGCTTACCCTTTCCAAGTTATAGTCATACTTCTCGAGCGCGGCAAGGGCGTCAGGACGTGAGTAACCCATGCTGGTCAAGTTCTTCAGGATCGGGTCGTCGTGCTCTCCTGCTTCCGTGAGGGCACGTCCAGGAGCAGGGGGGCGAGCGTCGGCATTCTCTTCCTTTGGAGGACCCGTGTTGTTGCTGTGCACAGGCTGTGCTGCGGGAACGGTGGGCGAGTCTAGTGTAGAGAAGATGGCGTCCCAGTCGTGAGCCTCAGCCCCCCTTTGCTGTCCGTTGCTGGACTGGCCGGGAGCGCTAGCGGCTGAGTTGGAAGAGATGAAGTCAAAGCTGCTTTCATTGCCAAATGCCGTGGACTCGCTCTTGGCTTGGCTGGCGGGGGGACTGCTGTCAAACATGGGGTTGTAGTCGTCCAGGCCAGAGCGCGAAATGTTGGCAAAGTCGTCATCTGCGGAGCCTTCCTTGGCATCCTCCAGGCCCTCGAAATCATCGTCAAGGTCGTCAAAGGCGCCCTTGGAGGCAGGAGGCTGGCCTTGGTTACCAGAGGCTGGCAGCGTGCTGGAACCAAAGATGTCATCTGCGTTTGAGGTCTGGGAGATGCTGCTGTTGTTGTTGGTTATCGTGGCGGGTGAAGAGGACAGTTCCGCGCTGCGGTATTGGAGTCAGTGAATGACGGTAGACATGACGCAGGGACTAAATCACCATGGGACTCGAATCAAACGCAAAAGCAAAAAAAAAAAAAACGACTTCCATTTTCGTGCACTATTTACCTTTTGGCTTCACCCTCGTGGGTAGTTGGCACATCCTGAGATGGTGGCAAAGGGGAATCAGTGGCCTCGGTAGCAGGTCTCTGAGACTCAGGAGTTGGCTCCGAAGCGGCGGCCTGCTTCTCCTTGGCCTTGTTCTCTGGCGACGCGGGCGCGAAGTCATCGTCAAATCCGCCCCTCTCACTATCGGACTCAGACACATCTCGCTCAAGCTCCGAGATGGGAGGGAATTCCGTGTCAAAGGCGTTGTCGAAAGCGTTCTGGGGCTTCACGGCAGCGGATCCCTTGTCGGCGCCATTGCCGGAGGCCTTGGTCGAGGTGAAGGCGGCAAATGCATTGTCAAAGTCTGCCTTGGCCTTAGCATGGTCAGTATTGTCAAATGAGCCGGATCGATCCTGGGCTTCTCCCTCCGCGGGCTTCTGCGAGCTATCGCCTTGGGCGGCCGGGACAGGGGTCGCGCTGGCACTATCATGCTTCTCCTCCTCTTCACTGGAAGCGGCGGCCGCAGGAGTCCCGGCCTCTGCTTCGCCGGATGGCACGCCGCCGGGGAAAGGGTATGAGCCGGACGCCGAGCCTTCGGCGCGTGAGGAGGTAGGGGGAGACACTTGTCGAGAGGAAGACAGTGACTCGTTGTGCTCGGGGAACGGCAAGAAGCTCGAGCTTAGTTGTCTGGACTCTGGCGGCGCAGGAGGTTCAGCACTCAGCGTTGTGACGCGGCTGACATGAGGGGTCGGCCCTGAGTTGTTAGAAAAGGATCCAACACTAACTGATGACTGCCCCGTGTTCTGTTGTCTGAAGGCTGCAACTGGCGGGGGAGTGCCGCTGGAGCTGACGGGGCCGGCGGGGCCAAACAAGTCGTCAAAGGACCGGTCGGAGAAGGCCCTGCTCGGGGGTGGCGGACCAAGTGGCGGACCGAAGACGCCCATGATGTCTGTGCTGGCGGAGCGCTTGAAGAAGGGGTTGTTGCCGCTGGAAGTCGAGAGCGCAGGGCTGGCCATCTGGGCCGACGTGGACACCGGCGAGCCCGTCTCTGCTTGGCGAGAGATGTCCTCGGCGCTCCTGGCCAGAGACTCGGCCTCCGCCTTGAGCTTGTCGCGCTCTCCCTCAGTGGTGGATAACTGCTTCTTGTTAATCGCGACGAGGCCCTTCTGCTGTCTGGCGTCCAACTTGAGTTTTTCCAGTTGAGGCTTGAGTTCGGCAACCTCGGCATTCGCCCGGCGGATTCGCTCCCTCAGGTTGGCATTCTCCTGCTGGTCAGCCTGGAGGGCAGCCAGGACCTGTTGATGCTGGCCCTGAATGTCTCGCAGCTGTCCTTCCAGACTCATGCATTCTCCCTGCAACTTCTTAGTATCGGCCCGCGAGTTTCTAAGCTTCTCCTCCAGCGCGTGTGTGTCTTGAGCCTCCTTTTCGTACTGTTGCCGCAGCTGCGCCAACCGCTGCTCAAAGTTTTGCTTCTGGGAGTTAGTCTGGCTAAGCTCGTGCTGGGTCGTGGTCCTCTTGGCTTGAACCTCTTGTGTCTGCTTCGCCAGGGAACTAATCTGATTTGACAAGTTTGCTAGCTCGGTTGTTTCATTCGAGATGGCCTTGTTTGCCTCGGGATCAGTATCGCCAAGGAGATCTTCCGAAGCGGTGTGTGGTCGCGCCTGCTCGGCCCCAGGGTGTCCAGCCAAGCCACGTCCAAATGAGGAGGATGGCACGAACGGTCTAAACGTCACGCCCACGGGAGATGATGGTTTCGCAGGCGGAGAAGCTGAGTGAAGCGCGCTGATGCCGCCGGCGAATGGATCGGCATTGGAGCCTCCCGTAGACATTGTCGTCTGCGCCGGTGCAGGGGGCGCCGGGCTAGGAGTAGAAGAGTCGAGACCAAACAAGTCGTCGAGAGCAGACTTGGGCGCCGGCGGAGCGGGGGCAGGTACAGCAGCTGGAGCAACATGGGCTGCAACCGGTGCGGCATCAAAAGCTGATGAGACTGCGGTCGTAGGACGGCTCTGAGTCCGCAACGAAGGCGGGATCAGATTTGGGGGGAGAGTAGCGGGCAATGGAATCCCCCGATTGCTGCGCTGCTGGCGGATCAAGTACATAGCAATTGCGAAGCCCTCGCGCGTCAACTGTCCTTGGGAGTGGAAGTCGGCTAAATCCCAGATCTGAGCGAGGATGTCCTCGGGGAGGCCCGATTGACTCAGGAAGGGCGCAGCCTCCTCGCCGGTGATGTATCCCTTGTTGGTCTTGTCGAAATCGAGATAGATCTGGTCAAATCTTGCCTTGTCGGCCGGAGTGATGGCCCACTCGTTGTTCGGCACGGGGGCGCCAGTAGCCTGAGCAGCGACCATCGGCGGACGGTTGAGCGGGCTTCCTGTCCTCTGCTGCTGCTGCGCCGGGCCGCTCAGTTGTCGTGGGATGGCCGTAATGCCGCCGGTATTGGCGGGCGATTGCCTGGAGGCGGCCGTCGACGCGATGCGTATGGCCGCCTCATACAGACCAGCGGGTAGAACGTTGGGCAGTGAGCGAAGTTCGCCATGTTTAAAGGACGTAATCAGATGCATGGCGATGATGAACTCGGGCAGCGCAAGAGCACCCCGTTGTTCCGTATCGGCCAGGCTCCATATCCTGCCGAGGATCTCGTTGGGCAAGCCGGACTTGCTGAAGATGGTCCTGGCCTGCTCGCCTGGCAGGAACTTGCTGTCGTGCAGGTTTTGAGCTGCAAACAGGGAGACATACCGGCTGCCCTTTTCAGGAATCAGCTTGGGAATGATATTACCACCGGAGACCTGGGGCGCGATGGGGGTCGGGGCCTGGGGTGGAGGAATGGCAGTAACCGGCGTGATGCCTGCGAACTCGGGGAGGCGTCCATGCGGAGGAGGCTGAAGTGCCAGCTCGGGACTCGGCTGTTTTCCGACTTGGGCATGGCCAATGAGGCGAAGGGCGACGTAGAAGCCTTGCCTATTGAGCTGGCCCTGGTTTGCTATATCGGCAATCTGCCATATCTGCAGCCGTGATAGAGAAGAACAGCGGTTAGCTTGAGGAGGGGGAAATTGGGGGGTTGGCGTGGGGGTGACGAATCAATTCCCCTCTCCAAGATGAGAGATGGAATTTGGGAGATTATAGGGAGCGAGGCAATGGAGGAGACAACGAACCGTTCCCAGAGTCGTCGAGTCCAGCGTCGTCTTCTCAAACAACTGGACGGCTACATCGCCGGTGATCTTCTCCCCGTCACGAGAGGCCTGGTTGAAGAGACGGTCGTAGAATGCCCTCTCATCGTCTCGGAGGTTGAGGTTCGGCACGCCTAGAAGAGAAGACGGGACGAATTAGCTTCGCAACAATCAAAAGGAGCAGGCGAACAGCAAAACAAAAAGGTGAGGAATCGAGGAAAACTGGACATACTCGGAGCAACACCAGCGGCCGCCGACATGGTCGCACGCAAACACTGAGAAACTCAGGAGAAGAGCTGCGTCGAGGGAGCTTATTTTCTTTTCTTTTGTTTGGGCGTCTTTCGCTGGCTCGTGCGGGCGAGTCGTTGAAAAGCTCCCCTTTTTTTTCTCTCGAAAGGGCGCAAATCAAACAGGGCTGGCTGGACGTTTCCCCCGGCTCAGGGAGGAGAGAGACGGAAGAAGGGAATGGATAGCTTCGAGAAGCTGCGCTTGAGAGCTGCAGTGCCAACAACGGGGGAGCAAACGCAGCCAAAAAGGAAAAAAGAAAACAGACGGCGGTGGAATAAACAGAATAACAAGAGCACCAACAAACGCCCTTTTTGCTTCTTTTGCGGCCCAAGAGTCGAGGGTTGGGGAAGGGGAGGGCAGAGGGTTTGCGGAGCTTTGAGGGTTTGGTTTGGTTTGGTATACGGGAGCGAGACGAAGTTGCTGCCAGCGATTGGGTTGAGGTCGGGGTTTTGCTTGGGTCGTCAGCCTGGGCACTGCCTTGGGTACCTTACGATTGGATAGGTAATAGCTCGGTAAGTAGGTAAGAAGCTGGGAGAAGTGCGAGTGGAGGAGGAAGGGTGGCTGGTTCGAAGCTACAGTACAGTACTACCTACCAATGCACAGCGCACCTCAGCGCTTCTACCTAGTGAAAGCTGCCAGGGAGCTTGACGCGGGCATCAAATGTCCCCCAGCCCGTCAAACGTGGGCTTTTGGATGGATTCCAGCAAATTAGGCCGCGGGCTTCAAGTCATTTAGCGTCGCCGGGCAGCACAATTTACTAAAATGGACGGGCGGCTGCGGAGTACATGCGCTCGGGGTATCGCGGTGCCTCGCTGATAGGGGGGACGGTACATGCACGGGCTGTACAGCACTTGCGTCAGTTCTCTTCTCTCTCTCCCCCTCCCGAACCCTGGGTCCCGGTAATTCCTGTTAATATTAGGCATGGATTTGGGATCTGGCTACCTAACTACCTTACTATTGTAGGTGCCCTTGCTCGGCCTCAAATCAAACATGATGCTGGCGATGATGCGGATATGGCACAGCACAGCACAGCACAGCACAGGCACAGCACACAGTACGATGCAATTTCAGTTGCGGCCGTGCTGTCTCTGGGCCTTGAGGACACTCGGTATCTGTTGCTGCGTCCTGCGTCCTGCGTCCTGCCTCCTTTATGCATCCTTCTCCCAAGAGGACTGATAGAGCAGGCAAACGACAGCCTGTCGCAACACACCCAAACCCTCACACAACAGCTGTCGATGCTCGCTTCTGGCCATCTTTCCCCGCAAGCCAAACATGCGGCCTATTAGACGGAGATGAGGGGGGGGGGGAAGGCAGATAGAACTACCTACTTACAGACCTTGCCAGGGAGGGAGAGGGGGGAGACTCGGGACAGAACACGGCCAGCAATCACTTTTCTCTCTTTTCTTTTCTTGATTTCTTTTTTTTTTTTTTTTTTCCTTTTTCTTTCCCCGTCTTTTCTTTTTCCTTGTGTTTCCCTGCCGTCTTCTCGAGACGTGCATGGGCCCCGTACATACATACATGTACACAGCATCCCTCTTGCAGTAGCCGCGAGTCCCGAACCGACGTCCATTCGTCTCCCGTGACTCGTCCCGTCGCCAATAGCCTCGCAGCAGAGCCCCCGGTCATGCATCCTTGGGTCCCTTTGGTCCCTTTGCTCATACTGTATCACCCTCGCTGGCTAATGACAGCTTGGATGCGGTCGTATTAATAGTTGCTTTCCGTCCTCTTGCAGCTCGCCCCCCCATTTATAGCGCAGTGGCTCGCATGCATCTAGACTGGCCTGCTCATTAATGTGCTAGGTATATTATTACCTATTACTTGTCGACACGCAAGGCATGCAGTAGACAGCTCCTCAAGAAGATCGATTAATCAGACTCTGTGCAAAGCAATCCGAAATCTACCATATCGTCATTACATCAAAAAAAGAAAGCCATCTACAGAAGTGTATCATCTTTAAAAATCCAGGTGTATGGTATCTCTCATTTCATCGTCACCAGCTCCTCCGCGCTCGTCGGGTGGATGGCCACGCAGTTGTCAAAGTCCTCCTTGGTCGCGCCCATCTTGATGGCGACGCCAAAGCCCTGCAGCATCTCGGCGCTTCCCTGGCCCATGATGTGCAGCCCGACGACCTTCTCCTCCGGGCCCGCCGTGATCAGCTTGTAGCTCGTGGGACCCTTGCTCTCCGGGTCCATCATGGCGTAGTACATGGCGGTAAAGGCCGTCTTGTAAATCTTGAGGTTCTCCCTGCCGTACTTCTCGACGGCCTGCGGCTCCGTCAGGCCGACCGCGCCGACTTCGGGGTGCGAAAACACGACGGACGGGATGTTCTCGTAGCTCAGCTTGAGGTTGGAGAACTGAGGCGGTCCGAAGAGTCGGTGCGCGAGACGACGTCCGGCGGCAATGGCAACCGGCGTCAGCTCGACCTGGCCGGTGACGTCGCCCAGCGCGTAAATGTTGTCGACGCTGGTGTTCTGGTAGTCGTCCACGACAATGTATCCCTTCTCGTTGAGCTTGACGCCGGCCTCCTCCAAGCCGATGCCCTTGGTCAAGGGCGTCCGGCCGACGGCCCAGATGAGGTGGTCAACCTCGTGGACGGTGCTCTCGTTGCCGTCGGCGTCGCGGTATGTGACGGACAGCTTGCCGTTGGCGTCCTTTTCGACCTTTGTCGCCTGCGACTGCTTGTGCAGGTGGACGCCCAGGCGCTCGTACTCCTTGGTGACGGTCTCCTGGATCATGGGATCAAAGTGCCGCAGGAAGGTGTTGTATCGGATGAAGAGATGGGTCTCGGTGCCCAGCGCGTTGAACATGCCGGCAAATTCGACGGCGATGTAGCCGGCGCCAATAATGGCCACCTTCTTGGGCTGCTTCGCAATGTCGAAGAAGCCGTCGCTGTTGATGCCGTACTCGGCTCCGGGGATCTCGGGAGGGGGCGTGGGCTTGCCGCCGACGGCGATGAGGATCTTCTTGGCGTTGACCACCACCTTGGAGCCGTCGTCGAGCGTCACCTCGGCCTGGTTCCGCGACAGCAGGCGACCCCATCCGTGCAGGTACTCGACCTTGTCGTTTCCGAGGTTCTTCTCGTAGATGCCGTTCAACCGCTTGATGTACGCGTCGCGCTTGGTCTTGAACGTCGTCCAGTCAAAGGGCGCCGTCTCCTGGACGGAGAAGCCGTAGTGTTTTGAGTCGTGGATGGCCTCGGCGAGCGCGGCCGCGTTGTAAGTGACCTTTTTGGGGACGCATCTACACGAGGAGGAAGCAACAGTCAGCATGCGCCGGTCACGAAAGGGTTGCTGTATTTATATATATATGCATATATATATCCCCCAAGAGAGGACGAGCGAGTACTCACCCAACATTGACGCAGGTTCCTCCCAGGCGTGAGTTCTCCACAATCATGGACTTGACGCCGTACTTGGACGCGGCCATGCGAGCAGCACCCAGGCCTCCGCTGCCGCCGCCGATGACGAGCCAGTCGGTCTCTTTGGTGATGGGAGCCATTGCGCGAGCTGTGGTCGATATATGGCGGGACAGTGTGTTGAGTCGGGTCGAAGCAATGCCTCTGGAGCCTAGTGACGGTGCTCGAGCGAAGAGAGTAAAGGGTGGCATGGACAATAAAATGAGTCTTGATCTGACAGCTTCCACACCCTCCGTCTTATATATACTTGTGGTGTTGAGTTAGGAGGGGCAGTTTTTTTTTCCTCTACTGTTGGTTTTCGAACCAAAGGAGTTGCTCTCAAAGCGGGGGGAGGGGGGAAACCACAAATGACGTTCCCACAGCAAGCTCGGTCGAAGATTACTTAGTAGCTACCTAGAGATTCAAATCCTCATCCATGCCATTGCGGGTTGATTATAGGCGCTTGCAACCCACTAGAAGCCTCTCTTTGCTGACCTGAGGCTCGGCTCTAAAAAGCAAACCCCCCCCAAACGGCCCTATATTGATACTATGGATTTTCAAGCCGAAGCCGCTGATTCCATGCCCTCCACACACGCACTGGGGACGGGCTTCCTGCCAGCCAGCCTTGTCGGGGCCGCCATCGACCGACGCCGTCCGATTTGCCCGCCAGCGCGCCCCCTTGGCCGTTGGGATGAGCAATCGCCCTGCCCGTTAGCCAGTTGTGCCTCTGAAGCCGGGCACTAAAGCAACCTTCTCGCATGCGCTGAATAATGGGTATGTGGCTGGATTTGGAATTTTGGCACAGGAGGCAGGATGACGCTTAGAACCTCGAGCTGTCGACATGCAAGCTTCAAGTTACGTCATCTGATCTTGACATGCTACCCTAGAAGTCTTGGAGTAGAGACAATGCATCGCCGTGATCGATCTTCTTCTGAGCATTAGAGGGTTAGTAGATGGGAACAATCGAGGCAGGAACATCAATAAATGCAGATAGCAAACAATTCAACAGCCGCCTGAAAGCTGTTCGGCTCGAATCTCGAAATATCACACTCCTACACCACCATTTGTAATCACCACCGGATCAGTTCGGAGGAACCAGCACTAACAAGAAATCAAGCCAAAAGCAAACACACAAGCAGCCACATGCATCCCTCCGAGCGATTTCCGTGCATGAAAAAGTTCTTTCTTTTCCTTATTACTCAGTAGACTATCGGTATTAGCAGCCTTTGCCACGGAATCAAATGCCGCCTTGGCCGCTCAAAGCGGGCTGCAAAAAACACCGCCGGTTCTGCCAATCTACCATTATATCGTATTGCAGGTGATGAGCGGCGATGTTTTCTGCAGCCCGCATGGCCGCTGCTTGTGCGGCAACACCCCCCCCCCGCCATAAGGTAAGGGAGCTTCGCCCGGTTGACGTCTGGAGGATTCATACATGTAACCTACTATCAAGCACTACCGAGCATCTTTGATGCATCCTTTCGCGATGCTATACATTTTGCCGAGAAGCTGGTGCACGAAACATGCACGTTCTTTCAAAGTCTGGGTTAGACCAACAAGGGCTGAAGTCATGCTTACATCTCATTCTCCAATTGTCAAGCTTCAGCCACGCTTTGGCCCCGGGCAGTCATTCGACTCCTCCAGAACTCACACAGAAATTGTTAGAAAAGATAAATTGTCCTCCAATCAAAATAGAGAGACGGCGACACTTGGCGGTCGTGTTATAAGCGATTATGGAAAGAGAAACAAAAGAAAAAGAAAAAAGAAACAAAAAAAGAAAGGACGACACGAGCCTGATTCGAACAGGCGCTCCCGAAGGAACATGATTTCGAGTCATGCGCATTAGACCACTCTGCCATCGTGCCGAGATGCCTGTTTGACTTACTACTCCAGTATATAAATGCGTTATTGATCGGATGCTCCTTGCAATTGATTCGCTTCCATTCTCTCTTCCTTGTCCAATTTTCAAGACGAGGAGCCGAGGTGTCTAACCTCAGTGAGGAAACGCAATATTCTGAATGAAACATCATCTTTATGGATTGTTTCCATCCAATTCTATTATCATACAATGCCTATGCGAATTCAGTGTCTAACTTGCTATTCCAGATCGTCGGCCATCCCAAAAGACCAGACTTGGCTTGGAATATCCCACCCTCTTCATGCCATAACCCTTCAATCACTGTCAGACCCAGAACTGCTCGTCTCGTCATCACTGGTATCATCATCCTCATCTTCATCCAAGCTCTGCTCGGCAATCACCTCGTCAACCACCGTGCCGTCCACAGTCTTACCGCGGTCGTCATCAGGGTTTCCATCGTCTCCTAATTCACCCTCCTCCATATCGTCCTCATCACCCCGTCTCTTCCGCTTCGCAGGTCGGCTAGTATCCCGTCCTTGCTCCGGTCCCCTCTTGCGTTTCGCGTTCTGTTGTTGCTCCTCAGTATGTGAGACGATATCCTTTGGACCCAGCACGTATCCAGCCGGCAAGGCCTCCCCCTCGCGCAGGACATATAACGTCGGGAACTCGAAGACTCTGGTATTGCGAAGGATATCTCGAAGGCATTCCTCGGGAGGAATGGATGTAACGGTGACGAGTCGATCGGGTCGCTTCCGGGTGCTTTCGAGGAAGAACTGAAACTGTCGTCGCTGTGACTCGTCCTTGGCTTGTGGCCACTCGTCGATCGACGGGGCTGTGATGGTAAACCAGCGGCCTGTCTGCGGATCCTGGAGAGAATCAACCGCCACATGCCAATGGGCATCAGGAGAGGCTTGCGCAACGCCCTTAAACGGCCTCCTCTGCACCTTGCCCTCAGCCTTGGCTTGTGTCCCCAACAGCGCATTGTAACCCTTGTACAACGGCACGTCCTCCATAAGCTTCGACAAAGCCCTCGACTTGTGCACTTCGCTCGGATCGGTAGAGCTCCTCTCGAAGGTGAACCACTCCACCTGCCAATTGATCTTCCCAGGCCGTCGGCTCACCGTCGTATGATTCTCCCTATGCCTCGTCATGCCCTGCGGCGCAGACACAAGCACAGTCCCTTGCTTCCTCAGCTTGCTCGCAAGCAGCTTGTCCATCATCCTCTCCCTATTCTGCTTCAGAACCCGCGTCACCAAGACCTTGCGCCGCCTCCCGTCACGGCCTACCTTCCACCGCACCTCCTCCACCGTCAGCGGCCGCAGCTCGTCCTTTTGTATAATGCCTTTATCTTCCACAAAGACCCGTTCGGCGCGCTCGGACGCCATCTCAATGTTGTGCAAGAAATTGTAGTCGTGGTCGATACCCGCCGGGGTAGCCAGCTTCGACTTGGCGACGAACGCCGTCTGGTCGCGCGCGCCGCTGCATTGCGACCAGCTCTTGTGCTTCGTGACGCAGGCGAGGGAGCAGGTCGCGATGCTGCAGCGAGGACACTTGTATTTCGGGGCGTTGATGTGGCAGATGCCGCAGAGAGAGGTCAGCACAGCGTCCGCCATTGTGTTAAGCCCGAGGCTTGAAGAACTTGTGTAGCGGTCAGGGTAAAGGCTGCAAGAGACGATGAAGACGATGATTATGATGATGAGCGACCGCCGTCTCCTTCTCCAAAATTTCCAAAACTTGAATTGATGCGCAGCTCTTATCGGAAATATTTCCTTATCTTAGTGGAATGCCTCTGTGGAGCGGCAAAGCGGGCAGTTGACTAACTCGGCTCCACTCTCGTCGGCCCGGCTCCTTCCCGTGTGGTTTCAGTCTTCACCCTTTAACTTCGGTAGCAGTTCAGCGTTCATTTTCAACAACGCAGGGAAAATCGCTGGTCATTAGTATCTTAGGCAATTCGAAGGCAAGGGATCACTCTTATTAAGACCTAATAGCTACATTTCACAAATAAAAGAAGGATTATCTAGCATGCAATTACAAAACATATGTGGAAAACCCACAAACAGTCTAGCACAAGAGACCCCCAAATAGACTAGAACCGCCATCTCACAATTTGTTCGGAAGGAAAACACAGTAGATCAATGAGCGAGACTCGATTGTAAAAAACCTGAACTATCAAGGTGTCATAATTTCCCCCTCCCCAGGAAGAGGGAGAGGTAAAAGAAAAGGACAAAGTTAAGTCATGAATAAGAAGAGATCCTGAACCTCGATGGCGCCACGCAAGTCATCAGTCAGCCTGCCATCACAGGGTGCTCCCTCCATCTAGAATATAGTAAACAACAGGGCTAAGAAGGGGAAAAGGAACGAAAGATGGACAGGGAAAGGGGGGAATGAACGCCGTGATCCAAAAAAAAAAACAAGAATTGTTTTTATCCAAAGCCGCCACAAAACATGAAGCTAAGCATATCTATCCGCTGAGGCCAGGAACGCTCCAGGTGCAGGAATATATAGCTTGGATCGCCGTATCGAAGTGATGAATACAAAGAAAAGTGTGGGAGTGCCGCATTGGACTCGGCAATAGTACATGGGTTTGTTGGCTGGGGTGGTGGCTAGAAAGTATCCTCGACTTCTTCAGCCTCGGCATTGTCCTCTTCATCAGAAATCACTTGTTCTCCTTCAGGGTTGATTTTGTCATCATGGACTGGCCGCTCAGGCTCGGGCGCGTCCTCTTCATACTTGCCCTTTTCATTGGGGACACCCTGCTCGTCCTGCTCAACAATTGTCTGGTCATCTTCATCGGAGATTGCCGAAAGCGCTGATTCTTGCTCCAGAAGATCGGTGGAGAAGAGACTGCGGCTGCTTCGAGACGACTCCGTGGTGGCCGGAGACTCCGACCGGATCACTTCGGCAGTCATCGAAGTCCTCTTCATCGTCCTCGACAATCTTGGTTGGTATCTCGTCTCGAATAGAGTACTGTTGACTGGCGCGCTCTGGCGTTGTGGCCGTGGACGCAAACGATAGTGCAGTGCTACTGCGGTTGGGGATGAGATCCGGCGTTGGTGGTATTGAGCTAGGCCTCCCGGCAGTTGGTTGTAAGCGAGAACTCCCCTCGCCGGCGTCCGAGGTGGCGGTGGAGCGGGCGTCCTCACCATCATCACTATGAGCAGTCGACAGGCTGCTGTGGCGGCGGCTAGCACGTGTGCTGGCTCTCGATTCGGCATCCTGGGCAAGCTGCAGCCCGTCGACGGCAGCTTGGCACTGGTCCGCAATGTTGCGAACAATGTGGGCGATGGCGTCGGTCTTATCCTTGAGGTGGCGATCGGCCAGGTCCGCGAAGCTCGACGTGGAGAGGCGGTTGCTGCTGCGAGAGGGTCGCAGAGCGTGCGCGTCGGGGGCTCCCTCGCGCTCGTCGGACTCATAGCCAGCCTCGACCTCGCGGATGAGCTCATCCGGCTTGGTGAGGGACTGGATGAGGTGCTCCATGTGGTGGCTCTGGCCGCCGATCAAGCTGCGCAGGTGCAGGACGACGCGGCGAGCCTCGTCGCGCTGGCGCACAATGGTGGCATTGGTGTGGTGGAGCTGGGCAAGCTCCTTCTTGTTCCTCTTGCGCTCACGCTCGAGCTCTTCGGCAATCTCCTGCTGCAGGACGAGGGCCTCGAGGGCGTCGTCGCGCTGCTTCTCAGTGCCGTTGAGACGAGTGGCGAGGCGGTTGTTGTCGTCCTTGTGCTGGTCAATGAGAGTAGCCAGGCGGCGGTTCTCGCGCTTGTGGTTCTCAATCTTGACCTTGAGGTCCTGCGTCTCCTTGGTGAGCTGCTCGGCAAAGGCCTGGAACTTGAGGAACTGCTGCTTCCAGCTCTCAAGCTCCTCCACGAGGTAGTTATTCCGCTTGGTGACCTTGCCAAGCTCGGTGTCCATGCGGCCCTTGAGGTTGATGAAGTCCTGCCAGGCTTCGAGAGCGTCTCGAGAGTACTGGTTCCTCTCGCGGACAAGCTCGTTAAGATGACGCATCGACACCTTGGTCATGAGGGGCTTCTTGACGGAGCCGCCAAAGACAGCCTTGATGCCCGAGTTACGGCCCATCTTCTCGCACACATGATCCATGACGGCCATGACGGCATCCTGGTTCCACCATTCGGGGTCCTGGATCGACTCGACCTCACCGCGCATGACGATGATCTGGCCAGCGGGCACCAACTTGCCACCACCATAGGCGGAACGCAGGTGCTGAGGAACGCCAGAGGGCGTAACGTCGCCATTGAGGGCCTGGGTCAAGCGAGAGACAAACTTGTTGCGTTGGCCGGGAGACAGCGCGGTGGGAGGGCTGGATGTAAGGACAAAGTTGCGGTCCAAGTCGATGACCAGAGCATCGGTAGGGGCCGTGAAAAGAGATCGGCACTCGGCAGTGACGCCCAAGATGTATGGGCCAGGCTCCTGAACCAGCTCCTTGGCATGGCGAGCGTGCACGACGGGAACGTACAAGCCGCTCCACTCGAAAACTCGCACACAGTATCTCACAGTCTCCGAGGCAATCGTGAGCATGGCCGGGTAGTGGCTGACGAAGATGATGCGGCGAGTGGGGGAGATGGCAGCCTCAATGACACCAACAATGTTGGGGATGGACAAGCAGTTGAACAGAGGCCACATGGCGAAGTTCTGGAATCCGGTAGGGGACGACGGGAACTGGTAGCAAAGGGCGTAATCCTTCATGTCGATGCGGACCAGATCGTTCAGCCTCGGGGCCGGGAAGCTCAGAATGCGAGACACCTCCTCGGCATGGAACAGGTTCGTGGCCTTGTTCCAGTGAATCCACATGCCGCGCAGGTAGTCGCCCAGGAGGTTGTACAGAGGGTAGCGAGACAGGAAAGACAGGCAGTAAGGAATCCAGTACGTCTCCTCCGGGTTGTCGTAGTAGTCGGTTTCGGTCCTCTTCCTCAGCTCACGGATCGTCTCGGCCCTCTTCTCGTCGGCCCGCGACCAGACGCGCAGGCATATGCCGTAGAGCGTGTGAGAAGAGTCCTGCTGGAGGACGAAGGAGTGGTGAGTGCAGTGGGGCTGGTTCCGGCCAGTACAGATTTCGACGTCGTGAGGGAAGCAAGCCTGTTCAAGCCAGTGTTAGCGCACAACATACAGCGGGCGGTATTGGGGGCATCATCAAACGTACCCTCATAGAGGCGTGCAGAGCCCGCGCAGTCTCGTTGTCCTGCTCAAGACGGGGGCTGCTGCCGAGGATCTCGGGGAGCCAGAACTGCCCGACGGCGCCCTTCATGTGGGTGATTTTGCCCTGGGCGGGAGCGGGAGCCTTGACCCATTGAGAAGGCTCACGGCCGACACCGCAGACCATGTAGGCATGAGTGAGCGTCTTGGGGGTTCGCTGCTGGGGCTTCTGGACCAAGGTGGAGGGAATGGGCTGGGTGATGCGGGAATGCAGCGATGAGGTACGGCTGGGTATCATCATGGCTGGGTCGGCGCCGGCCTGGTCGCGGGTGCTGGGCCGGCCATCACGGTCGCCAGTTCGGGGGCGCGTAAACGAAGGACGTGTGGTGAGAAGAGACATGGTGGCGGCTTCGATGTCGTTTTTTTCAGGATCGGGGCTTCCAGAGAGGCTCTCTCGCTCTCACTCTCGCTCTCAGTCGGAGGACAAGAGCTGAAGTCGAGCTGGGGAGAACTCAGCGGGCCATCCGAAGGGCGTCCTGGATCTCACGGAGATGTGGTTCAAGGGAATGACGATGCCTCAGCAGGCGGGCCGATGCCTGGTGAAGAAAGGAAGGAAGAGAGAAAGGAAAAGGATGCTAGCGGACGACGTCAAGTGGTCCGTCACGAAGAGAAGAATGGAATCCCGTACAGAACGAGGGAGAAGCAGCAGGAGGAGGAGAAGAGAAGAGACTGGATCGGGCGACGCGAGACGAGGCGAGGCCCGGGAAATAGAAAAGGAGTCTTGGGGCGAACGGGGGGGCCATTCACGCTGCAGCTAAAATCACCTAACACGCCCTGTTAATAGTGGTGGCAGTTGGCAGAGCAAGTATGGTGCAAGTACTGCTAGGTAGGTACGGTGCTGTACGGGTACTTTACTTGACCTGCGGCTCGCTGCGACTGGTGCCGCTGCAGTCCAGTGCCTTTGGAGTGCTGTGGGAGGTGCCTCTCAGGGGCGGGTCTGCATAAAAGCATGGGGCACCGACCAGGGACCCCTGAAGGCCTCTCCACCCGCTGTGATGTTTTCCCCTCTGCTGTCGGTATTAGCCAGAACAGCTCTTCCCCAGCGGGCATGGCAGCATGGATACTGGATAATGTGAGCGACGGGCTTGACGAGAACAAGATATGATGGGCGTGATGGTGCTACGTGCTAGCCCAAAGGACGCTGCACAACCAAGCGTAGTCGGCAATAGCGTGCGGCGCGCGAGATTAGCTGGCCGAGCTGGCGTGGGACAGCACAGAACAGAACAGAAGGCCGGCTGAATGAACCATGGAAGTCAGTCATGCTGCTTGTGTGGAGGAGGTCGGGTGTTTGTCAGAAGAAGGCGAAAGACAGGACGGACCTCTCAGCCTCACCATGTCTCAATCGTGCTCAATGGGTCAATGGATCCATCCCCTCCGAACCCCGTGCTTCCGAGCATGCAAGCAA